CCTAGGCATCACAGACTTAATGGAGGAGGAAAGACCCAGCCTGGATGTAGGTGGCATCATCTCATGGGATGGAGGACTGGACAGTAAAGGGAATAAGAGGAAAAAGAGAGCTAAGCATCAAGATCAATCCCTCTCTCTGCTTCTGACCCATAATGTTGTGAAGAAACCTGCCCTGTGACACTTACACCTTGAACTAAACTGGTCCCAGCTGCCATGCCTTATCCCCTTAAGCCTTAGGCTAAAAAAAAAAAAAAGAATGCCCTCCTCACCCCCCTTTTAAGCTGCTTCTGTCTATGATTTTGTCACAGCAACAAGAGAAGCAACTAATCCAGAGTTGCTGCCCATTCTAGGGGAGAACAAGTTAAGGAGCATATCTGTTTGCCCTCTCAAAATGTCATCCTAAAAGACGCCCTCTTTGTTTGCACTGACTCAGTCTCCATCTTAAAGAGTTCATGTTCGCTTAGGAAGCCTGGTTCCTAATGGGAGCCTCAAAGACAGTGGGGTCGATTTTAGACTGGGCCAAGAGGAAGAGGGCATGGGAAGAGCGGCTGGGCAAAACCCTTTAATAATCAACATCTAAACTCCTTTTCTCACTTTGATCCGCCTTCCTCTTTTCCCCGGCATTTGTTACCACAATCATTCTAATGACACAATTTACTTGCTCAATCTGATTGTCGCTTGTCAGCTGCCTTGTACCCAGCTAAATGCATGCTTCACCAGGCCAAGGATGGCTTTGTCTTCCACTTACTGGGCAATCTTGAGCATCTAGAAATGAGAAGCGTTCAGGAAACATTTCTTGATCAAATCCATGGACTCCACTGCCTCTTTGGTGAAAGTCTTTGCCACCTGAGTTTTCTGGCATTTGGAAAGATCAAATGTAATGGCACCCTACACTGAATGAAGCTCCTAAATGTCGGAAGAGCATGGGTGCCATCATGCATACATAGGTATATTTATTGCTTTAAAATGGATGGAGCGTCATACAACTTCTTGTTAGATGGCACTCTCTCCTTACCCAGGGTTCCTTCTACTGCTCCACAGCTCTGCAGGTGTGTGTGTGTGTGTGTGTGTGTGTGTGTGGTGTCTTGTGATATCCATCTCAGTCAGTGATTCTCAACCTTCTTAATGCTGCGACCCTTCAGTACCTCATGAAGTAGCATTTTTGTTGCTACTTCATATTTAGACATCAACTAAAGAGGATGCATGATCTGGACGTAGGCCCCCTGCACACATGTAGCAGATGGGCTGCTTGGTCTTCATGTGAGTTGCCTGGCAAGGGGAAGGATGTCTGATAGGTGACCACTGTGAAAGGGTCATTTGACACCTACAGGGGTTACGACTCACAGGATGAGAACTGCCGATCTAGGCTGAGCTACTGCAGAGATTGCTATGGGTGTGTGAAAGCTGAGTACCTAGGGAGGCCTGGTTTAAAGCCTGGTGGGACCCTTTGAGGTCCTGTCTCTCAGCTTCAAGGTGGGATGCTGTCTAAATTGTCATGATTAGTTACCTTCTCAGCCTTAGACACCACTTGGATCTTGGCTCCAGTGGGGAATGGTCCATTTTCCTAAAATAGTTGGTGCAGCATATTGGACTCTTAATTGCAAATAAGGCCTTTTGGGAGTTGAACAGTTCTTATACATCATTTGTTTAGTCATCTCCTCACATTCTATAGGCTAAGAAACTGGGACCCAGAGAGGTTGAGTAATGGTGTCAGGGTCACACAGCTGACTTTAAGTCTGAGGTCCTTTCCTGGATAGCAAGATTTCCTGAGTCGATGTGTGTCTGGAAAGATCTCTGTGTTAGCATGGACTGAGTCAAACACAGCCCTTGGCAGCTGGCTGGATTGCTGAGGGAACTCAAGTTGACTATTACCAGGATTATAGCTTACTTGTCTGGGGGTGCTTGGATTCATAGGTTCAATTTACTCTCCCATCTTCCCCTCATTCTCTGGCTCTTTCCTCCTCTGCCTCCCAGGGTAGTGAAAGCTCTGCTCGGAGTTGCTTCTTGCCTGATTGCATCTGAGTGCTGCAAACACAACACTAATTAATGTGTCTGTGACTCTAGGCTTGGCTGCTGGGCTGGTCCCCCTGCCCTCCCTGGAGCCAGCCAGGCTTGGAGAGCTGGCCCCCTAGGTTCTTTGAGCATGATGCCGGCAGATGCATATTTTAACAGTGCACATCTGCTGGCTATATAATCTCTTGTATTTGCCCTCCTCATTTGGTGCTTTGATGGAAGACCTCCGGGAGCCTCCCTGTGTTCCAGCCAGAGTGTTTGCTTTGCGATTTTGCCCGAATACCATCTGATTCTGCCCTCACATCTTCTGCAGGTTCAATCAAGCCCTTACTTTATTTAATTAAAAATCTATCTCAGGCAAATACAGAGTAAATTAGGAAGCTCTCCTATTCCTGGAACGTAGGGAAGGCTGCCCTCCTTGGGGGAACTGGCCCAGACAGTTTCCTCGGCTGAGATGTCACAGCATAGCAGGTGGCGGGGGGTGTGTGTGTGTGTGTCTTGGTTGATTGGAAAGGAAATCGGCTTTAACAGCCTTAAGAGTCCTTAACAACCATTGTATCTGTATCATCCCTAGGGCAAGAGCCCTTTCCAGTGAGCAGGTTGGCTTCCAGTTAGGGATGGTTGGAGGAGAGCCCTGCAGGACCAGGAGCCTAGAGAGGGCATTTGCAACACTGGGAGGAACCTTCAGAACCATTCTTCACCTGCAGAAATAGCTGAGGTCAGGAGTGTGGAGCCTGGCCTCCTCTTTTTGCTCAAATCCAGTTAGCTTAGGAGAATGGCTGATAGAGGAGATGGAAGTTTCCTTTCCACCTGTAGGAATTCTCTGTGTGTCCAGATAGGGCCTCTGTAACCATCCATCTTCCACCTCTAGGCTTGAATAAACACCTAACCAGCACAAACCCAGCCCTATGCTCTAGGCACAGTGCCAGGCCAAGGCCTTGACAGAGAGGAGCGTGAATGTCTTTTAGAGGTGACCCCAAAGCAAATTTGGGTCTGTTTAGATTGAACCCCGAGGCCCTGTTCTGAGAAGCCTGGCTTTTAACCAGGTGGACAGATGACATTCTGCTGATATTTGGGATGAGAAGACTGGGCAAAAAGCATTGGTCTGGAGCTAGAAAATGTGATGTTAAATGTTAATTAAGCTGTGTGTCCTCCTGTGCATATCTTTGCCTTTCTGAGTCTCCCATAAGCGTATCAGTAAAGCGCATGGGATAATCTGGAGTTTCAGTACAATGCATTTTGTTGATTAACTGAGATAGTAAGGAGCGAGGAGGCTTAAGTGGCAGGACTTCGCTGGTGAGTCTTCTGTACCTCAAGAACAAGGCAACATCCCGTCTTAGCTCCTGCATGATGTCAGAGGAATGGAGAGTGCTTAGGTCCTCTCTTTCCAGCATTCTCAGGCAGCCTCGTGGAGGAATGCAAGGGAGCAGGGGAAGGTTTTCTGAGGACAGGAGCCGGGTGGTCGCTGAAGATGAACATCCTACAGCTTCACATGGCAGCTCTGCAGACAGTGCCCAAATCATACACAGAAGCATACCCGGTCCCAAGACTATCCCATCTCCTCTCTCAGCCCTACGATGAGTCACAGACCCCTTCTCGATTCCCAAGGGGGTGGGGGAAGAAAATAACTACTGCCCCCTGTAGTGTCCTGGTCTGTCCTGTAAAAGATGACCTGCCTGGCTCCATCCCATAGCTCATTTATCCCACAGAACTCTTCTTTCCCACCCATTTCGTGCCAGGCAAGGCAGGCTTCCAGGTTGGAGGTAGGTGATGTTTCAGAATTTCTCCTCTCAGCCTCAGTTCAGGCTGAGCTGCTAAGTGGTCCTCCGTGGCCTGTCTGCCGTTGCACTTGGAATCACACACCCCTTGTGTTTAGCTGTGTAGATCTGAAGATAACCCGACACGCTCTTAAATATTTCATCTAGAGCATGAGCAGCGTCCCAGCTGCTGACCCTGTCATCAGAGCTCTACAGCAGCTGCCAGGAGGCTGCTGAGGCCAGGCTGGGGCTTCTCTCTCTTGCCTGCCCAGGCTCCATCCACATGTGCCTGGCAGAAATGCAACTCTAGGGGGCCAGGGAGGTGGAACAAAGAGCTCGGTCAGGGAGACCCTTGCCTAGGCCTTCTGCTTCTCCAAGCCTCAGTTTCTCACCTAGAGTGAGAAGCTTTGAGGACTGCTTTGGAACTGTGAGGGATTATCACTTATGTGAAAGAACTGTTTCCCCATAGCTCCTTCTCTGGAAAACCTGGTCAGAGAAAGGAGGTAGCAGGGCTGAACTCCTAGTCAAAATTGGGAAGCTTAAGGACTCATTGAGCAAGTCCTAACCCCACCACACCTTCTAGGAGGTCTGTCCTAATGAGGGCATGAGTACCTCTTCAGGAGGGCTGCCCCAGGGACATAAAAAAAAAAAAAAAAAAGATCAAGGTAGAAAATGGTAAGAGTAAGGACCTGAAATGAAATCTCACTGGAATGACCTGAGAACCAGGATTCCAAGGGAACCCAGGGGTGGGAGGGCTCTGGAACAGGGGTCTTTGGAGATCCTTATGCACATTGAAGTCCTGGGCGACCAAACTTGAGGCTCATTCTATGAATGTCAGGAGATATAGAGCTTTTCTGGCCCCTTTGGAGGTCAGCCCTAGAAGAAGGGTCTTTCGGATTATGCCACACCCTTTTCTGAGCTGCTGCTGCTGCTGCAGGCCTGGCCTCATTTACACTGCAGAGCATCTAGGACCCTCACCTACGTTCCAGGGTGCAGCCAAACACACTGTGTAAGACAATAACAGGCCGGTGGCAGTATGATTTCCTAAGGTGGGGGGTCTTCCCCTTTGAGTGGGAAGAGAGAGGAGAGGGCAGACGTGGGTGTTGCTGGGTGGATGGTCTCCAATGGCGACCTCCCATTGCTAGCTTTGTAGAAGGTCCCTCCAGTAGCTGAGTCCTTGGTGTTTCCTATAGCCCTTACATCATCCCCGCTTGTGTGCAGGTGACTTACCCAGGACTGTGAGGCGTGCGGGACGGGACCGGATGGCAGCCTGGATGGCCTGGCACTCATACACAGCATCATCCTGCAGTTCAGCCCTCAGGATCTTCAGGTGATGCTCTCCTGACAGGTGGTTTCCCACCACCAGGTATTGGGGGTAACCTGGGGAAAAAGTAGTGAGCTCTGAGAGATCAAAATAGTCCTGCTGCAAATTTCCAGAGGGCTATTTGGAAGTGTTGTGACCCCTTGGATAGAATGGCTCAAAAAAAAAAAATTCTTTTTCAAAAGGAAATATACATCTAGGGAACAGTGGCTCAGGCAGAGGCCTTCCTGTCTGACTTTCTCCCTTCTGCCAAAGGAAGATCATTCTGGTAGGTTGGCTCGGGGTATCTAATGTCTGACCAGGGCAGACCGACCTCAGGTGGCCTCCTGATGATTAATATACTGGAAACGTTTTTACAGTAAGATTTCCTCTGAACAGCTTCCTTGCTGCTTCCTTCCCTAACTCACAGGGCCAACACCCCCAAGCTCCTTTTCTTTGCTGTTTAAAATACTTTTATTTATTTGCTTGTTTGTTTCTTTATGTGTGTATGAACACAGATAGGCCACCCACGTGAAGGTCAGAGGACGACTTGCAGGAGTCAGTTCTCTATGTCCTGTAGGTCGAAAGGATGGAGCTAAGGTCACCAGGCATGCGGCAGGCAGCTTTACCTGCTGAGCCGTTTCATTGGCTCCCTTGTTTGCTACAGCTCAATGGGCTGTCAGAGCTCCAACCTTCAGGCCCTTTCATTGAGTCTCCTATTTTATGGATGACTCCCATGTCTCCGCCTGTTTACCTGTGCACTGCTAATTTATTTCGTGGGCTAAAATCATTGGGCCTTCAGAGGGAAAAGAGAACGGTAGCACTTCCCTAGCTCAGGGGCTGCTGGGGTGGTGGGATAGGTATTGGCCATAGAGAGGCAATGCAGTGGGAGTCCTTGACACTTGCTCAGATCTTTGATCTCAGTATAAAGGAGCATAAAAGCAAGAGTCTCCCAGGATGCTGGTGTGTGTGTGTGTGTGTGTGTGCGTGTGTGTGTGTATTATTGGTTCTAAGTTCTAAGAAAAATGGGAGAAGTCAGTGTTAGAGACAGAAGTATAGGACATGCTGAGTGGGCAGACCTGGCTATGTGGTATCGCTCTGGGAAGGTTGCTATCCACATTCAGTTATGTTTGCTAAGGAGATGCATGGGAGGTGAGAGGGAGGGAAAGGGAAGAAGAAGTGGGAGAGAGAGGGAGCGAGGAAGGGAGGGAGGGAGAGCGAGTCTGAGATTCACAAAGAAAAGAGCACACAAGAAAAAAATGGAAGGAGAAAGGAAGAAGGGATTTATTTACTTGGAAATGATCAAGAGTGACTTCAGGGGAGAAATTTTGTCCCAGGAAGCTCAGGAACCTAGGAATCCAGGACATCTAGGAATGCTGGGTACCATGCATCATCAACCACAGCGGGCCATTTCTGGGCATTCCTACCTCCCATCTCCAAGCCCCAGGGCCTGATTAAGCACTTAGGAGGCACTCAGGACACTTAGGAATTTGGGGCCTCAGTACATACACAGTGGTGATGAATAATAGATAAATAAAAATTTGAAGATGATGAATCATTCATCAGTTGCTCCGGCCAGCAGGCTGAATGCAAACACTGACTGCAGCTATGGCCATAGACAGGTCCTCGCTTTCTCTGTGGTCTTGGGCTCTGAGCCTCTTAGTTTGCCCTATCAGGGTGTTGTCCTTCTACCCTTCACCTGAGTTCTGCTTTCCTCACACCCTTTGCACCATGGGATTGTGCAGGGGTCCATTTTTTTGTTTTGGCTCCACCCTTGTTGCCATCTTTCCTCAGAGCCCACTCTGGATAAGCTAAGGGTAGTTGAGAGATGGGACAAGGCTCCCTGGGGTGACTGTGCTAGGACCCATCAGTGTCTATTCCTGGTCAGTGAGGTGGGAAACCATGGTCTTCTAAAAGGCCCAGCAGCATGTTCTGTGGGCGCTTGTACAACTGAGGTCATACTGTCCTCCTCATGACACCAAAGGGCCCTGCCCTCTACAGCTGAGCAGGGCTGATCAGAAATGCTGCCAAGGATCAGCTTCACCGAAGGAGGGTACTGTCCATCCCTCACACTTTCCCTGCCTTCTGATGGGCAAAAGAGTAAGCCCAAGCAGGTGAAGCTAGGTTGCCAACTGCTGCTGGCGTCTATGCAGCTGGCTGCCCTGCCCTCCAGCCCAGCTTCTATCCTGCTGTTCTGCAATTAGGTCTATCCCCTGCAGGCATGTTGGATAGAACTGTTGTTTTGCTTTTTTTTTTTTTTTTTTTTCTTTTTTTTTTCTTGCAAGTCATCAGCAGCAGGATTTCACTCTCATGAGCTGTGGAAAACATCAGTGATGGGTTTGTTTGTATTTGCCTAATTAGGCAGTGAGCTTCGATGCTATCTCAAGGATTGGCAGCGTCCTCAGAAAACATACACAGGAGCACAGCTTCTGAGAAATTTCTAGCTCCTTCCATGGTATCATTGCTTTCTATTCTCAAAGGAGGCAAAGATACAGAGCATCTAGGTTCTAGTCCTGTTGCGTGGGTTCAAATGCCAGCTTATTCTTTCTTGCTCAGCTACCTGGTGCTTTAGTTCTGTTGTTTATCAGCTTCGTTACCAGTAAAATGCTAGCACCTCATGGATGAAGATTAAACAGGACAATATGTGTAAAATGCCTGTTGCATACCATGTATGTAAAGATTTTTTTTTTCTTTTTACAAGATCAGGTCTCACTCTGTAGTGAAGGCTGGCTTTGAAGTTATGTCAGTTCTGTACTAACCTCCCCAAGTGCTATAATTACAGGTATCAGCTACCATGTCCATCTCTATCCTCTATGTATGCTAATATAAATACAATCTGCAGGGTTAAGGAGCTGGCTCAGTGGGTATTGCACTTGCTGTGCAAGCCTGGGAATCTTTGTTCAGATCCTTAGCACCCCAAAAGATGGGCATGATGGTGTTGAGGATAGGGGACAAAGACCAGTAGATCCTGGAGGCTTGCCATCCAGTCAGTCCAGCCAACTGGTGAGCTCCAGGTTTGGTGAGAGAGCCTGTCTCAAAAAATAGTTAGAGACTGACTGAAGGAAACACCCAGCATTGACCTCTGGCCTGTTCTATAAAGACATGTGTGATGGTTTGAATGAAAACGGCCCCCATAGGCTCATAGGGAGTGACATTATTAGAAGGTGTGGCCTCATTAGAGTAGGTGTGGCTTTGTTGGAGGAAGTGTACCTCTGTGGGCTTTGAGGTTTTAAATGCTCAAGCCAGTGTCTCACTCTCCTCCTGCTTCCTGAGGATCTAGATGTAGAACTCTCAGCTCCTTCTCCAGCACCATGTCTGCCTGCCTGCTGCCATACTTCCTGCCATGAAAACAATGGATTAAACCTCTGAACCTGTAAGCCAGCCCCAATTCAATGTTTTCTTTTATAAGAGCTGCTGTGATTATGGTGTGTCTTCACAGCAATAGAACTCCTAAGAGAACACACATGGGCACAGTCACCTACACACACACACACACACACACACACACACACACACACACACACACACCACACCACACCACACCACACCACACCGTGAAAAAAGTACAAATAGCACGGAAGTACAGTGGAGGTATCAATTTTAGAGGCAGCAAACAGGGTTTCATGCATTGAGATTGGTAATATTGTTGACTCAATTTTTTTTTTCTCAATTGTTACTCTGTTTACCTTTCAAGGAAAGGGGGCTTATAATCTTTTCCTCCCTCTGGACAATCGTAGAGTCATGAGACATCTGAGAAGTACTTCTTAGGAGAAAAATGCTCTATATGCCCCAGAGAATGTGTTGGAAAATATTTTATTTCTGGTGTCTCAGCCTTGGTGACCAGAAAGACACTAAGGTGTCAGTGACAGATTTATTTCTAGTACAGAGTGGGGTGACATGGTTGAAATGGAAGAGGACAGAGCTAGAGCAGCAAGAGTCCTTGTGACATTAGCCCTAGGTTTTCTTGTCTAAAGCCCTCAGCAAATCTTTGTTGAATTCAGTTGTATTCTGTTCTGTCCCTTCTGTACCAGGCAAACAAGGGGTATTAATGGAGCCTGGGAGAATCTATCATTATTGCCAGGATGGTGTTTTGGAGATAGATGATCAAATACAGGGCAGATATTTCTCAGGGGCCTGAGCTTATGGGCTCTGTAGGAGAGAGTCCACGGCCTGTCTTCCCTAGTGACTCCGTCAGGCTGGAGAGGAAGCCAGCCAAAGCCATTAGATCAACTTGTCTTTAGCACCCAGCACCCATACCCTTGATCCTAGAGAACCAGATATGGAACATCAGATCAGAGATGCGATTATCTGTGCCTTGATGACAACTCTATGATCTTTCTCTAGAGATCTGAGACCTCCACTTGGCCACTGACCTGATGAGACAATATTCTGATAAAAGACTGATAATCCTTGACCAGGAGCCCAGACAGGAGCCCTTCATCAGTCAGGGTCTTGGTCCAGGCTCATAGCTGCCCAGAGCATAAGCAATTCTCATATGGGAGGGTTGCTGAATTCCTTCATCTCTCTAGGGTACCGGAGCTGAGCATTTCTGAAGTTGGCTGGTTCCCATAACACTTAAACTTTACGGCAGCACAGTATATTTTGGAGATATTCTTGGGAATTTTATCTATGCTCAGCTGTGCTGCAGCATTAGGCCCTGTGACTGCTATTGACCGTTGCTATAATGTTTCAATATACATTTTTGGCAAGACATAACTCACATTTTAAAATATTAATTTCCCAGCCCCAGTGTTTCTGAGCGCACTTTTGATTTTTTTATTTTCCTGCAGCTGTATAGCATGAACGAGGTGAAACTGCTTCCCAGTTGAATGCGTATTTCTCATCCATCCTCTAACCCCAGACATTCCCAGATGGCAGGGGAGTGACACCCAGATCTGTCCTTCTGACTTTCATCATGCATATCAGCCCAGCACTCAGCCCCTTGCTTACCTATTTCAGGGCAGAGTAATGACAAAACGGGCAAGTGACACGAGGATGGCTGCATTTTTTTGTGCTCCTGGGAAAGGGGAGATTGGCAAAGTGTTTGGATGAGCTTCTGAGGTAGCCATGCAAAATAGTTACCAAATGACATTGCCGGGCACAAACTACAGAGCTGATGCGCCAGCCGGTAGCAGCTGCAGGAGGCCCCTATGGTGCAGCTTGCCTGGGTGGCTGAACAAGGTTGGCAGTTAGTATAAACCTTTCCTGTCTTCTCTTCCCATCATGAGATGAATCTGGGGAGAAGCAGGCTTTCTTGTGAGTTTTCAGTTCATTGGCTCTCTCCTTGGGTGGGAAGCTAGATCATGCCTTGATAAATGAGGATTCATATTGGGCCAAGAAACAGGAGCCCATGATGTTTGGGAATCAGACTTCAGGGATCGCATTGGCCTCTGGAGTGGATGCTGTTCTAGGTTTAGGACTGACCACCAGAGTGGGAATCAGTACTCACAGGCAGAGGCACCTGCCGCTCTGAGTGATATGGATCCAGGGCTTTGCTGCCCGGAGAGTTGCAGAGCTGGCTGGGGATTTGAGCCCCAATGACACTGGAGATGGAATATGGGAGTTCCACAGTAGAACAGATGGGGTGAGGCAGTATAGGCACTGGGCCTTTGTGTGTGGGTGGGAGAGTCTGGAAATACTCACTTGAGAGGTCTCTGCCTACACCCAGAGCCAAGCCGTCTTTGATCCACAGGACGAAGCCATCATATTCTGGGATGGCGCACAGCAGCGTCACTGGCTGTCCTGACACCACCACTTGGTCCTGGGGTTGCTGGCTGAAGGAGTAGACTTGGCCTAGGGAGGGAGAAGCACAGTGGTCAGTCAGTGAGGTCAGCAGTCCCTTTCATGCTCAGGAATCAGAGCGCGGCTACCCCAAGAATCAGACTCCAGTCTGGTTCTGACTTTCAGGGACTGGCTTCAGACTCCAGACTTCAGCCTCTCCCTTACTCAATCTCAATGCTGACTTTGGGGATGAACCGTGGCCACCAGGGTCACCTCCCTTCTCGGTGTGAGACTCCCACCTAACTTCACTTGCTCAGGAGTGATATGGTTCTAGTTCAACCTGGCAATCCAGGCAATCTGAGTGGCTGGTAGGGCCTTGGCAGGAGCTGGTGGCCATGTTTACCCACCTCCTCCTCATTCTTTCTTTTTCTAAGGTTGGCTCTTACAGTCTCCCCCTTGGAAATCGCTTGGAAGCTCATGCCTCTCACCCACACCTCAAAGCAAGATGCCACAACCATTGAAGCTATTGGTTCATATTTTATTAAACAGGTAGTTTGCTGCACATGTGAGATGCTAGGCTGTGTGCTGAGACCTTAAGCATCTGCTCACAAATTCTTTCATTCTGCTAACTGTGTAACCGCAGCGGGCGCTGTCTCTACATCGAGATGGGGAGTCTGGAATCAGTAGGGGAGAAAGGAGAGCAGCACTGAGCTGCCTCAGTACTTCCAATGCTGGGTCTACTGCTTGAGGGTGCTATGCTAGCACTCTCCAGAGCGTCAGCACAAGGCTCTGCAGGACCGGGAGCTGAGGTGGTTGCCGATAGCCGTGGCAAGTTGGGGGCTGGGAACCTGCCCCTTTCTGACTCTGAGTGTTGTTCTCATCTGCTGAACTGGCATCCATGCAGCTCCCAAAGCATGGGCACGGGGAAAGTCACTGAAGAAGGGAGGTGACATAGTCTGTGTTCTTGGGAAGCCACAACTGAGTGGACAGGGGGACACTGACACTGACAATCTGGGAGGACTGCAATTAGTGTTCTTCATACTCCCTTCTCCTAGAGACAAAGCAATGCTTCAGGGCAGAAAAAAAGAGTCCCATTTTATAACAAAGAAACCAGGATCAGAGAGGCACAACAACAGATTCAGGGTCACGCAGATAATGAGTGGTGGAGCTGGGGCTGGGGAGGTCCACTTAATTTTAACCCTCAGGTTTCCCACCCCAGCCTTGAAGACAGGTCTTCAATGGAGAGAATGGAGCCTGGGGGCCAGCTGCTACCTCCTTCCCACAGAACCACAGATGACCTTAACTTGGATTACTGTCCCACACAGGATCAAACTATGGACATAGAGGGAGATGAGGTGCAGGGGAGGGCATGGGGACCCCAGAGCAGCAGAGAGGTGGGGGCAGTAGGTAGGTCTGGAGTATATAGCCTGATGAGATCTTGGTGACCTTGCAGAGGAATTTCATTAAAAATCAAATTGGCCTGGAATAATGGGAGTAACTCTTTTTATTCTGATTTGAGCTTTGCAAATTAGATTATATAGGGTATTTTAATCAGCTCTGGGTAGTGGTATTTTTTTTTTCCTTACTATGTCTCTTCAGGTTTTCTGTTGTAAGTAGGCTCTTTCTGGCACCAAAACAAGAAAGGGGTCCAGACAGAGAGGAAGGAGACTGGGAGAGGGAGTGGGAGAAGAAAAGGCAGAGGAGAGAAAGAGATGGGAGATAGGAAGGGGGGGGAATAGATGATGATGATGAGGGAGATGGGAGGAGGGAGAAGAAATAAGAGGCAGGAGAGAAGACACCTTTTCTAGGCATCTCTCCCTGCATCTTTTATCCTGGAATCTTTTCTACAAGGATAGTGTCAAGGCAGTTTCAGTGGCAGCCAAAGATTGTGTGATCAGAGAGAATTATCAGGTTGTCAGCTAGGGGCTAAAGGGTCTGTAATGAGAAAGCCCTAAAGGAAAGTGGTGTCTGGGCTTCCAAATGTCCTTTATTAGGAGCTTCAGCAGGAGGTAACTATCCATTCACCACACCCCATCCTTTTTATGCTTGGTAGAAGGAGCAGAAAGCATTGCTGAGGGTGTTTGGGGTATCCATTTCTGGGGGCAAGAGTGAGTCCTGGATGGGCATCATGAAAATCAGGCCAGTTGGACGGTAGGGGACCCTGGGAGGAGAGGTCAACTCTGAGTAGTCACGAGGCCACACTGGAGGGTATCTCAGAATCAGAAGTTGGAGCTGATACAAGATTCTCCTAGTGACACCTGGAGTGTAAGGCAGGAAAGGCCAGAGAACTACTTAGGTGCAGTTCTGATGGCAGTTACATGGGGCTTTAGTCACCTACTCTTTATGTTTGGACCCACTTGGATTTTCTGTGGAAAGCATGTTTCTAGCAGTGAGAGGGCAGGGAAAGGTCACACAGTTCTTTTCAAGTTATTTTAGGGAGTGGAGTGGGAGCTGAGTATCCCCAATGAACAGTCTTTTGTTTCCATGCAATTTTAATATTTTCACATTATGTTCAGGCCACTAAAATCACGTTGTCTCTTAGTACCAGGTGTGGGAAATGGGGACCTCCCTAATAGCATAGGATATTGACATTGTTCTCAGTTGCCCACTGTAGATAATAAAACTAAATATTACAAAGATACAATATACTTAGGTTGTAGAAATCAAGCTAGAACTGAACTGAGAACTTTGTCTCTGCTGGCTACATTTCAGAATGCTAGAAGGTGATATGTAGGCTTTAGGAGAAAAAGCATTAATGGAATTAGCTAATGGTTTACCCTGAATACTATAGTATCAACTTGCCAGGCAAGATGTGCCCACTGGTATAATAGTGGCATGATGGTTTTGATGGCAACCAACTGCCTTCTGGTTGGATTTGAACCATGCATGCTCTAGAGAGAGAAAATGTATCTGATACTGTAAACCTTGTCAAAAGCCATGACAAAGGAGGTCAGAGACTCCAGGAAGGGAACTATTTAAATGGGCAACTTGTCAAATTGCTGTCTAAATCTTTACAGTTGTACCCACAAATTTCAACCTTTGTATTTCAACATTTGTCAAAGAAGCTTCTTTTGTGCAGCAATCAGCAGTAATGCAGGCTCATAACTATAGTGGAAGTTCATTTTTTTTTTAAAAAAAAACTTAGTTATATTATATAAACAGGTTTTTGTTTTAATCCCAAATGTGGGATATGGAATTGCTTTTAGTTTGTCCACAGCTGATAATTAATTGCGTTGTGCAGATCAGAGAGGTGCATGACCTTTGCCAGCTGTAGAGAATTTAATTCTGAGGATTTGGAGAGGGTATAAATATGACAGCCCAGAGAGAGGAAAGGTGTGGGCTTCAAGGAGACAGGCTGATGGAGAGAAGGCTTTGAGGACATAGACGGAAAAAGAAGAAGGTTGCTGGTTATCTGGACTGCTGGATTTCCTGATGACTGAGACTGGTATTGACTCCAAAGAACTTGATGACCCTAACCAGGCAGAATTACGTCTAAAGAGGTCCACATCTCCTCTCCCTTCTTCCTCTCCTACCTAGGGTTGGGGGTTGGAAGAAGGTAGAGGCTTAAGGAATCTCAAATAAAATAGAGTTTAAAAGCAGCACTTACACATAAGTGGTCAGATTGTTGAGATAAGTAACTGTTGAATGTTCATCCACAAATGAGGTATATCTCTATCATCTTCTAGCCCCCTTCTTCAGGGTTTAGGGAACAGAAAGAGGGGGCAGAAAGAATGCTTGAGATGGAAAATGAGGAGAAGTACTGTGAAGTGCTGTCTTCTGGCCATTGTACCCATGAACTCATTGCAGCTGTGGTTACTTACACAAGACCAGTACAAGATCAAGTCAAGAAAAGGAAGTGGAGGGAAAACTTACACTCTTTCACTCTTAGGATAGACCTTGAAGCCTTCCTGGCCAGGGGTTCCTGGGAGCTCTGTGCGCAAGGCATAGGTGGTGTCATCTTTAGAGAAGCCCCCTCTCACACTTTGCTCCCATTTCCTTGACCCTTTCCCCTTCCACCTTAGGTAAACTGATTTCCTTCTCCCACTTCCATTTTGACCCCCAGCCTATGGGACAGCGCCACTTACACCCAGGGTAGCTAGCCTCTCCTTAACCTCACCAAACTACTACATGAACACACCCAGAAGTTCACTTTGCTAACCTCCCAGCACCTACTTAATCCAGTCATGTGGCTGACCAAGGTCAACCAGGGCAGTCGGTTTCTCCAAATCTTATTATGCACTTACTATCCGTCCAGTGCTGGAGAAACACAAAGGAAGATGAGCGGCGCACCTCGTGGAGGCCAGAAGCACAGCAGTCTCTGTCCCATTGCCTGGCACAGCATGCGAACATCATGTTAAATGCCTGTAGCTTGCTACTTCTGGTTTGTTCTCTGTTCTGTGTTCTCTGTAGCAAAGTAGCTTTTGCAGTATAAACCACTGACCAGGTAGATGTTGTGCTGAGCACATCACATGGAAGGGGAAAGGTAAGAGGCAAAGGGGAAGGGCCAGGGTCACAAGAGGATCAACTTCACCAGAGAGAAAACTATTGAGTTATTTATGTGAAACACACGGTACGAAGGACCTGTGTTCCTGAGTGCACACATGGCTCTCATATATGGCAGGCATCGTTACCATGGCTCTGTGATGGATGACAGCAATCACTACCATATTTTATAGGTGAGCTGAGTGCTATAGTGTGGTTCTTAAATATCTCCAGAAGGCCCAGCTTGATGCTTTTGGGAGGTGGTAGTGGCGTCATAGGAGGTAGAGTCTCCTGGGAGGTCTTTAGGTGATGGTGGGTATGCTCTATGGTGTGTGTGTGTGTGTGTGTGTGTGTGTGTGTGTGAGCGCTTATGTGCATGTAAGCGCAAGTGCATGTGCCATGGTGCAAGTGTGGAGGTCAGAGAAGCACCTCTGCTGCCATCATCTACCATGTTTAAGAGAAAAATCCCTTATTGCTCACCACTGTGGACTCCACACTAGTTGGCACTTGACCTTCCAGGGATTTTCCTGTCTCCTTCTCCCATATTTCAACAGGAATATTGCAGATGTGTCCTACAGACCCTGGCTTTA